TAGGGGGCTCATTCTGTCTTCGATCCTAAACAATGGTCAAAGAATTCTATAAAGAGTCGCCAAAGCTGCTATTCGGTAGATCCCCTGACTAATAAAGATATGGGGATGGTAATGGGGAGGAAATCACTGGCTAGCAAGGACTGGATTCAAATAGGAAACCTCTTAATTGCAAGCTCTCAGGTCACAGGAGTGGACAGAGGCCTGAGGAAGAGAATGAGTGACAACAGAGGGCAGTTCAGGGCGTTCTCTCCGGGTGATCTCTGCTTACCTGGTAACACAGGATGGTTTGCTGCACCAGCCTCGCATACCCGTCCAGGCGGACCCCGGAATTGCTTCTGCTTCGCATCCCCGCGACGCTCAAGAGCCTTGGCGCACGACTTGCCGCGCCGCCAGGGCTGCGGCCGACTAGCGGGCCTGGTCGCAGAACACAAAGCTTCAGTCAGTTCTCGGGATAGGGCTGGGAGGGAGAAGGTTGGGAGTTTTCAAAACGATACAACCAAAGTATGATTGAAAAACAAGCCAACCAGAGTTTCTGCCGGCTGGGCGGTGCGGGGGCGGAGACGGGGGCTGGCGCTATGGCGGCTCCGCCTTGACCGCGCTCCCGACGGCCGCGTGTCACAGGAGGCCAGGGAGGAGAAGCCGGGAACTGAGTACGGGGCCTGAGGAGAAGGCGCCCCTGACAAGCCTCTTTTGTCTATGGGCGGTCATGAGGAGGCCCCGGGACCACGGTTGCCAGGGGCCCACCTGGGCCTGACTCAGCCCCGCCCTCTGCCCCGCCCCCGTCGCAGAGCGGAACCAACCAAGTCTCGGGCTGAGGGGAGGGAACAGGGGATGGCCCAAGGAAGAGAACCCGGCTCTTGGTGGGGGGACCAAGTTCCCTCGCTGAGCCCCTTCCTTTCCCAGCTGGCCGACAACCCCAACAGCGGCAGGAGAAACAGGCCCTACGGAACGGCCACTCGGGTGTCCCGGGCCCACCTCCCCCACCCCCCCGTCGTCGGAGCCGGGCATGAGGGACACTGGTAAAGGGGCCGCAGCCTCCGCCCCTAGTCCCGCCCTCATCCCGCCTCCTCCGCGGAGTCTCAGCCCGAGGGGGATTGAAAAAGGGGCAGCCTGCAGTATCGGCATAGACCTGGCTTCGTCTCCAGGCTGCGATGTTTAGGGCCCCAAGGCGGTCGCCAGGACAACTCAAAGCAGGAAAGAAACTGGACCACTGTGGCTGCCTGAGCGTTTCTTCGTAGGCGGAGATCATAGCCCTGTCCTTATTCTTTCCGGGACGGAATCCAAGTAGTGGAACCCAGCCTAGAAGAGAAAGGGGGAGGCCGGAACCTACCCCCCAACTACAACCCTGGAGCTCCTGCCCTAGCCACTTGGACGCCGTTCCCTGGGGTAGGGTCGCAGCTCATCTCTTCCAGGACTAATAACTTGAAACTTGTCCTTGGTTAGTTTCTTGTGGCTGATAATTGCCTAAAGTACACAGTCTTCGGCCCAGTATTCATTATCCACCCAAATCTGGCCCACATATGAATTCCACTGGAGAGCTAGACTGAAGTAATCATTGCTTCCGCAAACTCTTTGCTAGAGCATTTAGTGTACTGATCCATTTGGCCCTTCCTCCTCCTTCACCATCTGAAGCCTGTCTTTGCTTTAATGGCTAGCTCAGCTCCTTCTGCCTTTTAGCCCTCCCCATTCTCTTAATTCTTTTGGCGATTTCTTAAGAGCTGAGGACTTGGGAGTCACTTCGGATTCCAGCTGTTTTAGCTGTGTGACCCTCCAATGTTCTTATCTGTAAAATGGGGATATTGCCACTTACCTCACAGCGTTATTGAAAATCCAGACCATTTAGCACAAGCCTGGCTCAGAAAAGCCCATCATTAAAAAAAAATAATAATTTGGCAATAATGTATTGCCTTTGTATGTTTTCAAGTGTGGAAGAGGCATGCTTTCCTACCTGGGTTATAAAGTATTCATTAAAATAGTCTGATATCAAGTCTGATGTGGTGGTGCAGGCCTGTTATTTTAGAGGCTCAGGAGGCTGAGGCAGGAGGATTGTGAGTAAACAGCCAGCCTCAACAACTTGGCGAAGCTCTAAGCAACTTAGCAAGACCCTATCTCAAAAGAAAAAAAAATAATAATAAAGGGCTTGGGGGTGTGGCTCAGTGGTAAAGCACCCCTTGGTTCAATTTGGGGTACCAAAAAAAAAAAAAAAAAAAGAAACAGTCTGATATCTCCTACCATGTCTGGTAAAGTGTTGGGCATGTGGTTGATGTGGTTGGAGCTCAATTAGTGTTGACAATGAATGATTGAAAATCAGTCCTACATCAGCAGAGACCCCTATGTTTAGTTATCCAAATTCACATCAGATATTCCAGAACAAATCTGTAGCTTTATTCTGCCACTTAACTAAAGCACTCAAGAGCCACTCGTACTTTTTAAAAAATATCGGCTCTTAAGTTATGCAGCAATGTATGTAGATACGCAGAATGCTATGGTCCAGAGAGTAATGCTAGACATTAAATTAAAATTAAATCCCTTTTGCAATCTTAATATGTACTCTTCTAATATTTTATTAGTTGTTGATGGACCTTTATTTATTTATATGTGGTGCTGAGAATCGAACCCAGTGCCTCACACATGCTAGGCAAATACTCTACCACTGAGCCACAACCCCAGCCCCTTAATATGTACTCTTACTAGATTTTCATGCATTCTTCTGTAACAAAAGCTGGGATCATTTCTTCTTTTTATTATGACTTTTGTTCACATTGGATGCTTCTTAGGAATCCATTTAAAAGATCAGGGTCCAAGATAGAAACTAATGTTTCTCTTGGAGGGTTCAGATCTTTAACTCTAAATAAAAGCACTCACTCCATCTTTGACTCAGGTTCAATTCTGAATCAATTTGCTAAAAATAACTAATTTTTCAAATTTAGTTATTTCTACAACAATTTAGTTGACTGAGGATCATTTTGTTTCTCATTACAGTACTTTTAAAAAGAATATTGAATTTGTCTGTATTACAACTTCCTGTAGCTAGTTTGAGACTAAGAGGCAAGGAGAGGAAGTCCCAGGGAGTATAAGACTTATTCAAGTGAGGTATATATTTATTAAATATATTTAAAATAATATATTCTGGGGCTAGGAATATAGCTCAGTAGTAGAGCACTTGCAAGGCTCTGGGTTCAATCCCCAGAATATATATGCTGGATATTCTGGAAGAATAAATATTCTGTTTTTATCTGCAGACTTTGAGGGGGGGTGGAGGGGTGGTAAACAGGGATTGAATGCAAGTGCTTAATCACTGAGTTACATCCTAGCCCTTTCTTTTCTTATTTTCAATTTTTTTCAGTTGTTGATGGACCTTTGTTCTATTTATTTATTTATATACAGTGCTGAGAATCAAACTCAGTGCCTCACACATGCTAGACAAGCACTATACCACTGAGTTACAAGTCCAGCCCCTTATTTTTCTATTTTGAGACAGTCTCACTAAGTTGCTTAGGGCGAAAGTGCTCTGACTTCTTGATGCTGTATCTCAAGAATGAGGTGAAAAATAATACCATGATAAGAATTCTTCACATTTAAGATTATGTTCTTATGTCCACTCAGTTTTTCCTTTTTCCTGTCCTTCCAACTCCAACTGCAGCAGTGAGATGAGACAGAAACAAATTAATTGCCCTTTAATACTGTTATGGAGACAAAAAGACCAAACAAGCCCACTTAGTGAATTGGTCATTCAGTAAATTAGATCTTCATTGACATAATCTTTAACAAACTGATGCCTCCTAGGTGACCTTGTTAGATGTAAGTGGAGCAGTTTTACCATTTGTGAGGAGAATAATCATGATGGTGCTCATTACAGTCAACAGAGTTCCTGTGTGGGATTAATGACTACAGTGTGTTTGGGGAAATAATTTCTCCAATGTTCTGAGGAAATACTTCTTCAAAGACTGGCAACTGCTCTGACACTCTCTGCCTCCTAATATGGGTAACACCTCTGTTTTCTTACAATAGATTGTGGGACCAATTTTAAACCCAAAACAGGACGCTGCTTGGGAACATTTTCTATCTTGCCTTGTTATCTCTCTGAATTAAGAGAGAGGGAGAGAGAGAGAGAAGAAAATATGGCTTAAGAACCACAGCTAGATGTAAAACATAATACAAAAAATAAGGTGGGGGGGGACTAAAGGACATGGACGTTGCACCTCCTTTTTAATCTCCTTTTGGGAGATTGACTAGTGAAGTCTCATCCTACTCTTGATTAGTTTAGTGCTTGGCCTCTGTGGGGGCTGAGGATCTTGGAAGCAGATGAGGCCAGCTTCCCCGCTTTGTGGCTTCAGCATGCTAACCTATAACCCTTCCTGAAATCCGATTGTTTGATGCTGAGGAAATAGACACTTGGATGGGAATCTGAACTGGGTCTCATAAATTGCCTAGAGGTCAATGGGAACAAATATTAAAGAGAAACTCTTGTAGTAGTATGTTTTGTGATGCTGGAGATTGGATCTATGGCCTCACACATGCTAGGCAAGTGCTCTCCCACTGAGCCACATCTCCAGCCCTGAAGAGAAACTCTTGAAAGAGTAACAGAAAAAGAGAAAAGAAGACTACAGAAACTAATCTCATGTGACAGGACAACTCTTGCTCTAATTTCTCATCCCCAGGGTGCTTGCTATTTCCCAAAAGATATGACTATTGTGTTGGTCTTCATCAGGCATGTCTTACTACTCCCATTCCTTGTTGCCAGGGAAAGAAACTGCAAAAGGTTTTTCTTTGTAAAAGTTACCAAATTTAAAGGACTTAACTAAATTTATTTAGTTCATTTTAACATTGTTTGTTGATTTTAACACATAAATACAATTAAATAAATCAGAGAAGAAATACTGCAAAGACAATTCAGCACTCAGAAATGTCTTATTACCATGGTTAATCTGGGATACAACATTCACTTGAAATATATGCAAGGGAGCCTTAGTGAAAGATCTAACTAAAGGGTTTTGAAATGTTCCTAGTAAGGACATACTTGAGTTATTGCTCAAGCAGGTATAGGTGGAAAGTAGGAAAGACTACAGCAATCAGGGTTTGATACAAATAGAAACAACAGTATCATGGGATAGTTCACTGTTTTCAGTAGCTGCTCCCCCTTGTCACTATACACTCTTTAAGACTTGACACATTTTAAAAAATAATTAGAAATCTGGCTGGGCCAGAGTGTACCAGTGGTAACAGTCAACAATGTACCATGCAGTTGCCTTTTAAAGAACAGCAATATGATTTGTTTTCCTTATATATCTCTCTTTTCAAAAGTAATCCTACTCTGTTCCCCTCTTCTGAAAGGCTCTGGGGACTTGAGATGTGGCAGTGTATGTATCTCCTCCACATTCACTATCTTCCCCATATATGGTCTAGATTAGAGTTTCTTCCCTTTCTGTGACCAAGATATTAAGCTTAACATCTTGGTGCAGATTCCATAATCTGATTAATAGGGATGTGGCCTGGGGATGGGTACTGGCATTGGATGTCATGTATGGTTGTACAGGTCATACCTTATATAAAGATGCCCCCAAGAAGATGACTAGGACTAAAACGTGACCCCACTCTGCTTGCCAAACCAGGCTATATCTTCCCAGGGGGGTACCTTTTTCTAACTCACTCAAAGGCACTGTATGAGCTAACTGTGGAACTGTCTGATTAGAGTTTGGCTGCATCATTTTTATTTCTTGATTTCAATGAAGTTTCTGTATTTCACATCCATATAATCTCCAAAAGGAGCTTTAGAATTCACTGAATCAGTAAGGATTTTCTGAGTTATCACATTAGACAAAACAATAAAACCATGATTCTACAAAAGAATAAATCTACATAGTAGAAAATAAATACAAAAAAGGTAGAAGTAAGATTTCTGACACGTGGGTCCCTAGAATTTAGCTTATATACAACAAAGGCATGCACAACTAAACTCACCAAAAGTCTGAAGTCAACAGTTGCTTTCTAGGATGTTATCAAAGATAACTTAGCCTCTTTAAAATGTAGCTGGAAATTAACTACGTTTTTGTTTATACAAGTCTTATTCTCACTGTGTTGTTTAAAACCAACCTTCTTTTAAAATGAAGGTAAGGAAACCAAATTGCTAATGTCTAAAGGCCACAATAATGTCTTGGTTTCCCCTTCCAATAGTAACCATCGCCTTTCATTAGCTTATGTTCCTCCAGAGGTTGCTGAGTATAAAATAAGTTGATTTTCATACATCTCACATTGTGTAAAAGGTAAAATTGGACATTTCACACCATCAAGCATCATGCTTTGATTTTAGAAAAAAGGAATCACATTTGTTCAATAAAGTGTAAGCTTCCCCTCTTTGAAGTCCTTCTGAGAGCCATACGGCTTTTACCATTGCAGGAATCTTCTTTGTCATTAAACATGTGCTGTTTTCCAGTGAGATCATGAAGGCACACATCTCCATTCTGAACACTGAAAGAAACCCCATTCCTCTCTGTAGAAGCATTACCTGTATAAAGAAAAACAAAGTGGGTATGATGAAGTACCCACAGAAAGCATTAAAAAACAACTGTAAACACTTTAAATATGCACACATGAAACAGCTTTTAAAAATATTTGATATATATTTATTTTATTTTTCATTCTATCCCTTTCCTAAGGGCAAAGTAAGCACAACAAATTGGAGATTGATTCAGAAATGAGTTTCCTATGATAGCTTTCTTTTTAATGAAATGGCCAAAATATGAAACAAAGCAAGGTATTTATTTATTTGTTTATTTATTTATTTTGGTACTGGGGATTGAACCCAGGGTTGCTTTATCACTGAGCTACATCTCCAGCCCTTTTTTAAATTTTGAGATAGGGCCTTGCTAAGTTGCTGAAGCTGGGCTTGAACTTACAATTCTCCTGCCTTAGCCTCCAAAGTCTCTGGGATCACAGGTGTGTGCCACAGCACCCAGCCAATATATTTTATTTTAGGCCCCTTTTCTAACTCTGATCAAAAACATACTGACTTCAAGAACATATAAGATAGCCTAAGGCAATATTTTGATCTCCCCCAAAAGTTAAGACTAACAGAGATCCCCATATATACCCTTAAAGGTTCCTGCTTCTCTAAGATTCCTATAAAATGAAACTTTGTACTAGCAGAGAAAGTTAGAGCAACCAACCATAACAGTCATGGCAAGAAGAAATCTCTGACCATCTTCTAAGCCAGCCTCTCTGACTAAATTGAGATAGAACTCATTCCCAATAGAAAACCATAGATTCCAATCTAAGATGCCAGGCAGGGAGCAGCTGAGCATTCAGTGACATGTATGCGTTGGACCCTGGTCTCTGGGACCCCAAGTAGGCCCCAGATTGTAGGGCTACATAGCTTCCAAGAACTTCTAGCTACTTGGCACCATCCTTCTGAATGCTATACCATTGGGAGACTGTATAGGAAGTGGAATAATAAGCCCATTTGTTAGTTGGTGATGTAATCATAATAACAGTAATTATATCAGCACTGAGCACTTGATAAATATTATCTCATAACTCTATGGGATAGATACTCTATGGGATATTATTATGCTCATTTTAAAGATGATGGAATTAGGTTTGTAGAAATTAAGTGCTCTGTCCAAAGTTCCATGGCTCAGAAGGGATGAAATCAACATGCGAGGATGTTGCTTCCACACTGTGAGCTTGTGACTCTGTGATATGATTTATCTAAGACAGCTTAGAACTGAAATATGTCACATTCATGCAGACAAGGTGGTAGATCTGGTTAATGCAGCCCCATCTGTGCCACAGCTCAAACAGGGCATGTGACTGTCTGAGGCAGCTGTTCTGACTTAGGCATTTTGGTCTGAGGACATTTTGGTGCAGGAACAATTTGTCCCAGTATAATAAACAAACGATTCAGCTGCTAGTGTCTCTTTTAAAATTGCCAGTTCCATTCCTCATCCATTCCTGAACCTAATGTGAGGACTGACAAATCAGGAATATTCATCTGACAGACTTATTAGATAGTCTGAAACAGCCATTCTGGTGGCCTTAAAATGTACCCCTTCCTCACTGTCAGGCATCAAAAATAGCTGTGTCAAGCAGCTGTGTCAAATGTGCTACTTCTGTCAAATTTGATTCCCCAAAGAATGACAATATATTGATAGGGCTAGGCAGATGAAGCTTCATCTCCGGGCTCTCTGTAGAATATGGAAAACTCTGGTTATGGATGAAGAACACCAAACACATGCAATTTTAAGACTTCTGGATGACCCAGCCCATTCTTCGATTTCTCGATTTTCAACTTGCTCTCTCATAATAAGTTATTAACCAACCTTGATTCCCACTACCTCTACTCCGTTTGCCTACATTGAATCATTCCTGATATAGCTATTTGGCATAGAGCCCAGATCTTTTCTTCTGGTATTGACAGAAGATCCAAGGCCACATGGCAGCAGTTTCTCATCTTTTATAGAAGGAGTTCTCAACCAAGGGCAAGTTTATCCCCCAGGGGATATTTGGCAGTATCTGGGGATGTTTTTGGTTGCCACAACTGAGAGTAGGGCACTACTGGCTCTACTAGGTAGAAGCCAGGGATGCTTCTTTCAATATCCTGCAATTCCACAAAGCAGAATTACCCAGCCCCAAATATCCCCTGTATCTGAGGTTGAGAAACTGGTTTCAAGGCATCCTATTGTATTTTTAAAGTCTGAACAAACCACCAGGGCTCCCCAACCCTCAGGAGACTGGAAAACCATTTGGTAAATGTATGAACTTTCTCACAAATTTATATGAATTAGTCATGAAAAGAACTAACACCCTTAAACAGTGCATAAAGATAAATTCTCCATGGAAGGAGAAAGTATATTGATAGAACTTAGGTTTTTATAAAATGCAAAAGATAATATTAAGAAGCAGAAGAAGGCAAGCTTTTATGAGTAATGAACAGCCCAGTCTCATGAAAGAAAGAAAATGTAATGCAGTTTTAGCTAGAAATGTCAGACTCAATGAGTGCAGGAGGCACAGTAGCAATAATCTGTTCATATATTGATGACATATATGGTCACCAATACTGGTCACAATTCAGAACTTCTAGTATCTGATATATTTGTGGGGATTTGGGTGCTGTCACAAGGCAGCCACACTGTGGGAAAGAATTAACATGAAAAGTGAAAAACAGGAAGGTTTAAAAGTGTTGAAGATGTATACGATTATAGATATAATAAAAATGAATATAGTCTCAAGGACTATTTTAGGTACTGCTCTCATAGAGCCCAGTACTGAAGTCTTTGGGCGATATTTGGATAAATAAACTTCTCTTTTATGTAAGAGAACCCCATTTTGATCCACTAGTCATATATGTAATTATTCAGTTTGCTTTGCAAAAATACCACTAAAGGATAAAACTACTTAAAAAAATAAATACTAGCTTGAGAAATACTATATCGAGACATACATACCATTCCCGCTTGCGTGTACTGAGCAATCGTTATTCACTAGCAGTGTGGTGGAGTTAGTGGAGTTACTGCTTGACTGTAAGGAATTTGAAGAGCTGGATACTCCTTGGTTTACAGTCTGCTTCTTTAAACCATTAGTAGCAGTTTTACTCCAGTCTACAGCAGAATAAGCATTACAGAAAAACAGGGCCTATGTTGAAGCTCAAATGCAAGAGACAGATCACAGTGTAACAAGTTCTAGCAACAGATTTCTCACTTTGAGATCTTACAGAGAAGTCACACATTTCAAAGCTGGTGTGATAAAAGATGTTTTCATTTAGACTATTTACATTTGTCCTTTAAATGACTGTCTGGTTAAAAGTAAACTATATTCTCCTGGAACTAAGAGCCAAGCTCATTTGATTGTGTCTATAAATAACTACTGAATTAGGTACTAATTCAAAGCCTCACACTGTCTTCACAATAACAGAAATCAACTGTGTTGTGATGTCTAATTCTTGAATTCATAGAAATGACTGGCCTATGTGTATTGCCATTTCCTGAGAACAGACTCTAGTGCTCCTCCCCACCCACCCACCCCTGCCCCCAACCCAGGTACCGCAAAGGTGATATTCACACAAAAGGAATCTTGCTTTTTTAAACAGTACTTAATTTTTCTCATTTTTAAGAAAATGTACTACCCAACAGAGCATATGCAAAAATAACTTCCAAATAACCAAATGTGTGACAAAGCTTATATACAAAGTTTGGCCTGCTAACAAATAAAGTGACTGACAACCAGGACCTGTGGAGAAAGAGTTGAGTCAACCCTTAAAAAGTTATGAAGGAAAATATTAAAAATTACTTTGGGAAATGAAAAACATGAACTCAATAGGAAATAAATTCTAAAAATGTCATTGTTGCTTCCTTCATTCAAGAAGCAGCCAGTCCACTAATTCTATTGCTTGTAAAATTCCCAAACACCACTATTCACTAGGTTTTCCCCCTAATGTTCACAATCCATAAGCTTCTGTTGCATGGGTTCTGTTTTTTGATTTTCAGATCCAAGGGCCCCTTAGCAATGATTGCTTTGGCGTTTAATTTATACATCCTTTCCTTGAGATTTAAGAGGAAGAGAAAAAGTAAGGTTAATTTTTACCAGAATTTTCAGCCAGCCGGAACTTTCCACAACAAAGATAGCGCCTCCATTGCTTCCTGACATTCTCTTTTGCTACACAGTAAAAGATGAATATGAAAAATCCTAAAGGGGGAAAACAGAAAAACAAACCATACCATAATACATTTCAAATAAGACCTGAATATCGTGAGCTTACTTTGCACAAAAAAATAAAATCTTTGGCAGCTATAGGCAAAGTGAAATTTTGCACATTTACTAAAAAAGTCCTAAGTTCAAGGCTTGCTATGGAAAGGCACCCAGAGAATGCCTCTCATTTTTAAAAATTTTTGTAAGATAAAGAATACTTATTGGCTGGGCATGGTGGTACAAGCTTGTAATCTCAGCGATTGGGAGACTAAGGCAGGAGGATCGCAAGTTCAAAACCAGCCTCAGCAACTTAGCAAGGCCCTAAGCAATTTATCAAGACTGTGTCTCAAGCATAAAAAAATAAAAATAAAAAGGCTGGGGATGTAGCTCAGTGGTTGAGCGCCCCTGGGTTAAATCCCCAGTAACAACAACAACAACAACAACAACAAAACCCCAAAATATATAAAAACAATGATAACTTCACATTTCCAAAATTAAGTTCACTGTCTCTCCTCTCACATTCTATCATTGGCCTTCCCTGTCTTGGTAGTACAAGCCATCCACCTTGGTGGGTCCTTGGCTCCTACCTCTCCCTCCCTCTGGATTCATAATCCATCTCCAAGTTTTGTCAAATGTCATCTCCTTCACAGTCTCACATTCTTCTCTCAGGCCCACTGTCAGGTCTTTGCTTGGCCTTTTCCCAATGTGCTTCCCTGGGTGGTACACCCAGTACACTCATTAACTATCTTCCTGCTGCCCACCAACCTGCTTAAGGACATTCTCCTCGGATGTCTCAGCAAGAAGAGCAAACTGAAGATTTGAAGGGGCCCTCAGACTCCACCTCCTGACCACCTCCATCCCCAGTTATGCAGGCCAAGGCTCCCCACACCTCTCTCTCTGCCACTCCCCAAGGCTTTGGCCAATAATATTTGCTGAATGTTTGGATGAATTATGAGGTGTTCTCTCTCTCCACAACCCTTTTGACATACACAATCTTTTTGAAATACACAATCTTTTGAAATACCAGATTTGCTTCTAATAGGGTACACATGCCCACCCTCAAGACTGCTGTCTGAATATTGTATCCCTTTCCTCAAAGTGTCACCCTGGGAGGCCACCCTTGGTTGCATTAGGGGGAAGACAACATGTGTCAGAGAGGTCAAAATGGAGATGCACACAGCCCAAATCAGAACCTATGCATAGCTCTCTTTAATCAACTCAAAAGCACTGTGAATTAGGCATTAGTTCTCTTTTATAGAAGAAGCAGAAAATGTTTTCTATTCATTCAAACTCAAATAAGAAGATTTTCTGGAGAAATTCAGAAAAAGAGGTAGTTTCATTTTCCACATTAAACATGAGGGTGGATACCTAGTTTTTTGTGTTAATGATTAATGTGATTTGGGCATATAAACTGTTTGTCTTAAAGTATATACTATTTATGTATGCCATTGTTAGCAAATAAAACTTTTCTCAAAACCCTTAGAAATAATTTACTCTTCTTTATTGTTGTTTTTGTTTTGGTATTTAATACCATGTAGTGTGATACCTGGATATACCAATTTGGAGACTGGTATATTATAGATGAAATTAACAACCATATGTAACCAATAAGCATATTTGGGGCTTAGAGGTGAGGCAAAGAACCTCACCCCCCCACTGGTACAAAGACCTCTCCACAGGTGTGGCTGTATACTGGACCGGTAGTCAGTGACGGGTAAGATCCAATTGCAATGGTACCAACCTAAGACAGGAAGCTAACGCCTTGAGGTCAGCTCATCTGATAACGGGTAAAGACCATATGTACTATTGGACAACCTAAGGCAGGCACGGTCCCTAAGCCACATGCTTGTTGTTTAAACAGAGAGGGGGAGACGTTGAGAGCCACAGCCGAAGGGGTCCCAGCAAACTTCCAGCTGCCGGCTTGATGACTGGCTCACAGCGGCTCAGCAACATCTAGCTGATTGGCTCCTCTGTGGTGATGCTTATTGGAGATGCTCATTGAGCTGTTTCCCCGCCCTTTCAGATTGCCAGCTGATGATTGGCTCACAGCGGCCCCAGCAACATCTAGCTGATTGGCTCCTCTGTGGTGATGCTCATTGGGCTGTTTCCCTGCCCTTTCAGACCATGGAGCTGCTCATTGGGGGACTTTTTTGGCTCCACCCACACGACCCAGCCAATCAGCCTCAAGAACAGGAGGATTGTGGGAGGTGGAGAGGCTGGTGGTTGAGGGAGAGGCTTGTGGGAAGCCGGTGGTGGCAGTTGGGCTCTGACGGTTTTTCCTGAGGAGCTGTTTTGTTTGGCTTGTGTGGTTCTAAAAATAAAGTTCGTTTCTTTTGACAAGAGGCTCTTGAATTGTGCCCAGCCAGACTGCGGCAGGGCTTCCTCCAAATAAAATAAGAACTAATGACCAAATCAGATATCTGAATTCATATCAGGGTGGGATTTCTTTTTTCTAATTCTTTTTTCAGTCCTAGGGGTTGAACCCAGGGCCTTGAGAAATGCTAGTCAAGCATTCTACCACTGAGCTACATCCCCAACCTATTTTATTTTTTTTTTTTTTTGAGACTGGGTCTCACTAAATTGCCATGTTAGCCTTGAACTTGTGATTCTCCTGCTTCGGCCTCCCCAGTTGGGATTACAGGTGTGTACCACCACTCTGTTTCTGGGTGGGATTTCTTTGAAAACCAGCAAAATGATTTATTGCCTGATGGAACTACAGGAGGGTGCTAGGGGAGCTAAAAGCAACAGGAAAACAAGCAGATGAGAGACTGCAATGAGAATCTCAAGCAAGGATTTGGAATAAAAGGAAGCCAAGGGACAGTGAATTATTGTTATTGTAATGTAAACCTATTAGCCTGCTGGGCTTTTAATGCCAAAGCACTTCCATTAAAAATTAACAGCTGACAAGTGTTTTATAACACTACTCTAAAAAAAATTAGTCATTTGCTTTCATAAAGAATACAACTATGGGGGTGGGATTGTGGCTCAGCTGTAGAGCAGCTGCCTAGCACATGTGAGGCACTGGGTTCAATCCCCAGCACCACATAAAAATAAATAAAATAAAGGAAATGTGTCCATCTACAACTAAAAAAAATTAAAAAAAAAAAAGAATACAACTATACAACTATGGGGCTGAAGCTAGAGCCCAATGGCAGAGTGCTTGCCTAGCATGTGCAAGGCACTGGGTTCAAGGCTGTTGTTAAATATGATTAGCACTATATTTAACAACAGCCAAACAAACAAAGACAATCTAAAAATACAAAAACTTTAAAAAAAAATACAACTATGAGGGTTCCAAAAGGAACATTTGTTGAGTTTCATTAACAAATGGAAAGCTCAGAAGGGAAAGGCAACATGCAGAGTCTGCCCCTTTTGTGCTGCAGAGTCAGCTCAGTAACTTCTAAGGATTAGCCTCTGGGAAGACTCTTGCCACTTGGGTCTGTTTATTGCCTTTCCACTTATCATCTGATGTCTCCAAATCACATGCTGGCCTAGGTTGAAGTGGCCAGCATGTGATATGTATAGTATGTATAGTATAGTATATACTATACATATATATATATATATACATATATATATATATATGTATAGTATATACTATATATATATACATAGTATATATATATACATAGTATATACTATACATATATATATATATATACATATATATATATATATAGTATATACTATACATATATATAGTATGTATAGTATGTGTGCTTTTATGGTTCTACTTCAATAAATTAGTTTAAAAGGGAAAAAAATTAAAAAGGAAAGAAGAAAGTGAAGGAAGAGTAATTGGCTCTCTCAGAAGAGTTCCTGGCAGGTTTCCCTCTCCAAGGAGATAACAATGGATAAAGAGGGGAAAAGCACAATTTCTTGAATCTAGTGAACACTTTTCTTCCAAGAATCTCAAAGCTCTTCTTCTCAGCAATAAATCTTAACAATGAATGTATTTTAAACCACTAAGCCACTTTGCAGATACTCTTTTAGTAGTGATATTTTATTATTCAACTGGGATCATTCAGCTCGTATTTAATGGTGTAGAGCTTACCTTGTAAGGTGTTAAAGATGGCAAAGAGATACATGAAGGTGATGTTAACTGGTCCCCAGGCAAAGAAGGCAAAGCCCCAAGTAATTCCCAGTAAAAATGTGAGGCCAGCAATACTCCTGAGGTCTTGAATACTGGTTTTTCGCTGGGCTCCCAGTTGCTTCTTCTTTTTAATTCGACAGAGCTGAACCAGGACGACAATGAACATGCTGATGTTCAGCAAAAATATCACACAGAAATATCCCACAACTGTAATATAGAATACTGCATTGCTGTTGATCCAGCAACTGGAATTTGAGGGGGGGGGGAGAAAAAGGGGAAATCACATTACTATGATGAAATAGTGTTCTAAATGATACACTGAGTCTATAATGTTTCACTAAAACATTTTCTACAGGAGGAAAAAAAAAATGATAAAGCCGCTGTTGTCCACAACCATTTATGGCTCTTAAGGAAAAGAATCTATCTTAGGACACTTGGTGATTAAAAATATTTTTAAAAAATATTTTTAGACATTCAGGATTTTACCCTTGCAAACTCTAGAAATTCTATTTCATGAGCTTTATTAATATAATGTAATTTGTTTCATTTTTATGAGAGGCTAATAAAATATTTCCAATATAGTTTTTCCTAATTCATTAGTTAAATAATTGCATCTCCAACTACCTTATCTCATTACATATGACAGTGAAGGCTGTTGTTAAATATGATTAGATTTTATTATGATGACAGCTGGAGTTGATATGCTGATTAGATCCTCCATTTTCTTGGAGAATTTTATTTTCTAGTTTACTTAACAATTCCTCAGGGAATTTTGTACTCACAAGTCATCTGGTGAGCCATTAGGGAATTTTCCATAGGATCCAAGCCCGTAATTATGTGGGGATATAATCAGGACAATAGCTACAACCACAGCTGGTACCCCTGGAAGATGGGAAACATTGGTCACACATACTTTTAACAACCAAAGGTGGTGAGAAAAAAAGACTAGAGATTATTCCATTTACTTCTTGTGGCATGGTAGAGACTGGTTATTCACCAAATGAGTTTCTTTTTCTCTTTGACACATGGATAGACCCTCTCAGCCTCCCTGGCAGCCAGGTGTGCATGGCCATGATAGGGGACGGACAGATGCAAGTGGTAGGAACATGAGGTTAGGGGATTAGTTCTATAAATGAGGCCCACTATGCTGATCCCACACACTTTTACTTTTAAAAAGCTATTTACTTGTAGCCCTGTCTGGCTTAAGCTGACAAGATATGTTACATTCCTTAGCAAACTACCTGTTATCTGCAGGAGAAATTCAGGTCCTGAGATGCTGATAAGAAGAACACAAGCTTCAGGGGACTTTTGTGACCTTTACACAGATCAGATCCCAGAACTCAGGGAGATAAGTATAATTCCCCCAACCATAAAATCTGTAAGAATAGGTTCCATGGTCAGCAGAGGCCAAAGTGATCTAAAGTTGCCTTGGCAGTAAGGACTTGAAGGTCTGATGTCATCTACTGTCAGTCAAAAATCAAGAGGTGAATCTGGGTGGAACTCTCTGGAAACTTCCTTGGGATCTCCAATAAATCTGGAGAGCTGGAGAGTCACACTGTTCCTCTCTTCTCTGAGACAACCGACTCTCTCCCTTGAGAGTGTTCCCTTTCTCCTTTCCTATCCCTTCTAATAAACCTATAACGGTGGTGACTTGTCTTAAATCTTTCTGACTTGATCCCTAGAATTGGGGTTTAAAAGGGGGGGTGCTTTCTGCTGCCTCAGTTTCCTGTAAGTCCCCAATCCTGTAACACCACATGACTAAGTTTTGGTCAGTGGAATTTGGTCAGAAGTGATAAATTCCACTCCAGGTCTGCCCTTGTGAGATCTTTTATTCTCTTTTCCCCAAAACTCAGAGTAACCTTGGAAACACCATTTCCAAGAAGTCTTCATCATCTTGGATCCCTGAAAAACTGCAAGACCAGAGACTCTGCTACTCCTTGTAACTGGACCATGTATAAGCAGGAGATGATCATCTGAGATTTCAAGGCTTATTTATCTGTTATAGCAGTGAGTGTTACCCTTAACTTACACATGACTGGAATGTAAATTTAAGAGTAAGCAACTCCTGGTGAATCATTCATAATGAAACCAAAATCCTGATTCTTTTTTTTTTTTTTTTTGTGGTGCATGGAGATTGAACCCAGGGCCTTGTACATGTGAGGCAAGTACTCTACCAAAATCCCTATCCCCCCATATCCTGATTATTTAGAACCCAGCGTATCCCAGCTGATATGGGGGAGGTGGCTGCCGCTATTATTGGCTCTCTCAAGGGCCTATGAGTTTAAGAAGAAGAAAATGAGAAGTTCCTATAAGTTTAAAATGGTTTCTGGCTGGGAAAGAGGGATTCTCATCCCTCTAGATCATTACCCATCTGCTCTATGCCACCACCTCACCTATACACAGACCAACCAGCCATCTAACTCAAGGCTCAGGGAAATAAAAAACAATTGCTTTCACAGACTGGCTGGAATGCCTGGTACAATGTAATATTTCATTTAAATCCTTTATATTTGAACCTTCTAATGATATTGACATATGATAATTTCCTAAGAAAGATGTTTTTCTAAAAATACAATACTGGAAGGTTGGGGATATAACTCAGTGGCAAAGCATTTGTCTAGCATGCACAAGGCCCTAGGTTTATCCCCAACACCACAAAATAAATTAAATAAAATAAATTAAAATCAAATAGTGACAGTAGGGCAGCTTGTTCTTCACAAGGGTGTCTGACCTTTAAGCTTTCTCTAAAGAAGACAGAATCTGTGCCCAATATCCAGAACAGGGACTTATCTTTCTGGGGCAAGTTAGGGGAAAAGGTTGTTTTATTTTTCTTCACAAAGAATGATAGGCAGGGTGATAAGGATGATGAAAGGTTTGCACTCCTGGCATGTAGGGACTGTTTAGCCTGAAGAAGAGGGAGTCTGCAGAATGGTGGCAGCTGGAATACAGTAGAAGGGGCCTGCACAGGAATCAGAAAGGCAGGCTTGGCTGACTTCTAGCCTTCTGAATTGGGGATAAATCACACTGGCATTTTGAGCCAGTTTCTTCACCTGGAGTTGACAAAAACTGCCTTAAGTACCCCACAGGCTTGATTTTAATAAGGTGATTTATGTGAAAATACCTTGAAAAATTGGGTATTATACTACTTGTGAATAATCCAAAGGATTCCTAGGCAGAAGAGGTATCAGATGATGATGATGATGATGATGATGATGATGATGATGATGATGATGATGATGATGATTTTGTCTTGACAGCAAAACCATTGGTAAATGTCTCCAGGGAGCCAAGTGAACTTAATGGGAAAATGGAACTGAAGAGCTTTGGAAAGTGGTCATTGGCTGCTTTGTAAGATAATGAGCTCCCCAGTAATGGAAGTGTTCAAGCAGCATTTGGATTATCTTTAGTCAAGGAAAATCAGGTGGATTTGAGGAGGCACCAACATTGAGTTAGGATTTGAAGAAGCCCTACAAGATCTTGGGGAAGTCTAAGGCTTTGTGACCTACCACCAATAGGTAACATGATCTGAAATATTGTGCCAGTGTGGCAGTGAAGTTACATTGGTTTACGTGTACATCCTTTCACTCTGCCCTTTGGAGTACATCATTCTCATACATGTGTCTGGTATGTGGGAGATACACATCAGAACAAGACTAGCCAAGAGCTCAGGGATGGAGAATTTGGCCTTATTACCACAAACATTTTTAATTTATTGAGCACATTCTGGTACTTTCTAGCACTTTCTGTGTTAGCTCAAATTCTAGTTGTTGGAGGTATAACAAGGATTCATGGCCCAACCTCAAAGACTTTTACATTCATAATAAATCTAGAGGAAATACCATGTCCTAGAAAAATATTACGCAAGGTAGCTCTGTGGACAGTGTAGCCTGTAGGAAAAGAAAGCTGTTTTAGAAACTTGCCAAGTGTGATCTGCTTCATCATGTCTCTACCTTAATAAAAATCAAAACACTAGAGAAAATGTCCAGGGCATATGAAAGCAAATTTATACGTACCCCAGCCAACAATGCAGAATTTAAGGATGTATTTTCGAATATAAGTATTGAACACTTTGACAAGAGCCAGGTACATATGGAATGCTTCTAGGCCCATCCATGTGAATGAGACCAAGAGAAAATAATGAAGGAATACAGCTACTGAGATGCAGAGGCCTTTTGTGTTATAAAGAGCAATCCATGAATCCAAGAGAAATATTAGGTTCAGCAGGAGCAGAGCAGTACATAGCTGGATGAGGATTTTGGAAGGGTAATCCCTCCGGATCTTTCTAAAAGGAAAGGGTAAGAAAAGGTTAACATTACATTTTGCCAACCCTTACATAAGCATATTTGACAGGCTATCTATGAGTTCTAGGCAGTTTATTTTTATTCTTTGGTAAATGTCTAAGATATGTATAAATTTTCTCTCTCTGAGTGGGTGTATGTATGGGGGACTTTAAAACCAGCAACAAAGGAAAAATCTTAACCAAATCATCTATGGTAACCATATGGAAAATTTGTGTATAGATTTCTGTAGGAATTTTTACATGCTGACTGTTGACCCATACTTTTAAATAGTTTATAGTAGATTCTACTGACTACCCACCCCATATCTCCCAAACTACTTCTAGAAGCATTGCTGCTCCTTCTCATGTAATAGACTACTAAATTCAGACCTTCAAAATGTAGCCAGATTCCCATATTATCCTAGGTTATTAATTAAAATGAGGTCATGGAAAGAGTTTAAACTATAGCTAAATGTAATGGCATAGGAAAATACAGCTAATTGATGACATGTACATGTTTATATGTGCAAAATTAGAACTGGTGAAATCATTCTGAGTAATGGCTGGCTTTATGGTAATTTAGTCTCACTAAGAATATTTCCAAAGGTCTACCAGAAGATCTGTAGTCACAGCTGGACCCTAAATTTGGCACTGAAAATAAATTTGTACATTTCCTGATCAGTGTCCAAAATCTAAATCCCAGAATCTACATATTGTTTCAATTAGCTAATATAACAAGAATGCCTAGTTCTTTCTTTTTCAATAGAATTTGTTAGAATTTTCCCCAAAAAGTGACTAGAGGAACCTTTCTGGTGAGCCAAGAGAAGCCATTTTTTGGAATGTCATTCCTGTTTTGACTTACAAAGCCACACCCACCAAGTATCTATTTTTTTTCCAGTGAGGTTTTTTATACCCTTTTTCATTATCTCTAAACCAGTTAATATATTTAATCTTTTATGCTTGTTCAGTATAATTTAGAAGCTTAATTTACTCATAGTTATTCTGTTTCATGTGTGGCTGTAGCCTATTTCAGACTATAAGGTCTTGGATTTCAGGGTGTGTGTCCATCTTTCATTTCACACTAAATGTCGACTAGGTACCAGGCATCACTCTGGGGTACAGAGACAATTATGCTGCAATCCTTGCCTTTACTGAACTTGAAGACTTATGGAAGGAAGCAAGCAGAGAAGCCAAAAAGCCTCATAAAGTTTCACACCTAGGTGCTCCACTAGGTGGGTGTACAGGGCAGGGCAGGCTGAGGAAAGTGCTTAATTAATACATTTTGGTGATGGAGGCGAGCATCAAGTCCTACAATCCAAAAATTTCCAGTTAAGGATACTCACTCAAAGGCTATGTAGGTTACAAGAGTAATTGACAGAAAAATTGATGAAAGTCCACAACCAATATATGTTATAAATGTCAGAGCCATCATTTGACCAGGTGGTAAAGATGTCCGAGATAGGTCCTGGAAAAGAAAACAGTGCTTTCAATGATCAAATATTTTTATATAAACAAATGAGTCATAATTTACATTTTTTGAGTGTGCTAGGTATCCATCTATAGTCCACTGAACCAACCTATGAGGTAGGCACAAATATTATAATCAGAGAGGTTAAGCAACTTGCCCAAGGTCACATAGCTAGGAAGTAGAGGAGTCACATTCAAATTCAGGTGAGCCTGACTCTAAATCCCATGTACTTGGTCACTTGGTCATTTGGCATGGGCAAAGCACTCGACCGGGATTCTAAAGACTGGCATTTGGCTCCTGGCTCTTACATTTCTTAATTCTATGGTTGGGCAAATGCCACGAGCTTTGATTATAATTTCAATAAAACAACAACAAGAGTGCCCCATGCTACCTATCTTTTAGGACTGTGAAAGAGATTAAAGATTATTTATGTCAAAATGTTTTTCAGATTTTTAAAATGTGCCAGGCATAGTGCCACACACCTGTAATCCCAGCATCTTGGGAGGCTGATGCAGGAGGATTACAAGTTCAAAGCCAGCCTCAGCAATTTAGCAAGGCCCTAAGCAACTCAGCGAGACCCTCTCTAAATAAAATATAAAATAGGGCTGGGGATGTGGCTCAGTGTTTGAGTGCCCCTGAGTTCACTACCTGGTACTCCCTTCCAAAAAAATTTTTTTTGAAATGCTTTGCAAACTAAACAATTTTTATTGTCCATTGTAATCTAAATTCCTTGTCTGAGTCATTTAAAGGAGAAATTTTAAATGTAAAAATAGAGTGTGAGCCTGGCAATAGAATGTTATCCCAGAGACTCCAGAAGCTAAGGCAGGACAATTGTAATTTGGAGGCCAGCCTAGGCAACTTGGAGAGACCCTGTCTCAAAATAAAATTTAAAAAGGGCTGGGGATGTGGTTCAGGGGTAGAGCACTTGCCTATCATATGATGTGTGAGGTCCTGGGTTCAATCCCCAGTAATGGGGAAAAAAAAGAATGTGAAAAAACGTTTGTATTCATACTCAGATAGTTTCCTTTAGATGCATTTGCTTATTAGAAAAGTAATCTCATTGGTGTATAACTTTGCCATAATACCATGCTATCTGCTTATCTGTTCAAGTCATACTTTAGATTAGATATCCAGATATGTTGCCCAGCTTCCCCTCAGTCCCAGAATACAAGGCCATTGTGCATGGTCATGTTACCAATAGGACCCCAAAGCTGGTAAGGTGGCTACAGGTACAGATGGTTTCATTCAGCTTCCTTTCTTTGACCGAGCAGCCATCAGATGACCAGCCTCCTCTGCCACCTGTTGGCATCAGAAAGAATATCTGTCCTATCAGCAAGGCCACAGCATCCATGACTCCCCACCTTCCCCAATCACCCACTCAGGATCTTGACAAGGTTATGACGAGAACCTACCATTTCTGCCCAAGTCCCAAAATACACATTTCACTGTTAAGTCATCCTGCGGTAGAAAGATAAATCATAATTAATTAATTTTCTGAACTGAAAAGCAATTGGGAAAAAAATTATGGTATTTTTTATTACAGAATCTCATGCTTGATTTTGAGAGTTACTGTTTTATGTGGTCCCCACAAGAGGGAGCCCCATATAGGTCATGAATCCTTAAGCATATCAGTCATGCATAGGGATGGCCCTGGGACCTTGACAAAGCACAGTCAGACTGAGTAGACCTGGGGTAGGGCCTGAGAGCTTACATTCTAGCCAACTCCCAGGTGATGCTGATGCTTCCAGTATGCAAACCACACCATGAATAGAGAGGTCACAGCTCAAGTTCAAAGTGAACTGAGCTGAAAGGCTATCTCTTGGAGGTGAAAATCAGACCTACATGCACTGAAATTCAGCAATTGACAAGGGCTTGCATTTGCATCCATCCTTCTTGGATACTAGGTGGTCATTTACTAGGTGTGTTAAGATCCTACAGAGTAACTATGCAATTCTAGTCTCACACATGAGTCTAATGAGTTCAAGATCCTTTTTGCTGTCTTTCTCAAGTCATGTCTTATGGACATAGTTTGCATAAGGTGTTCCTAGTCAATGAGCAGCTCAGACTGGCCTCTCCTCACCTGGCTTGGATCTGTGTGCTTCAGTGTGACTGTCACATTTCTTGTCAAGTTCTTGACAGTCAGGTTTGCAACACTTGATGATATGACATAGCTGATCAGAGAAAGGTTCTCCAGAGAAGGGTCCTAGAACACCAAAGAATCAGCAAGATGACAAGGGAAAATAAAATCTGATCAGAGTTTTAGAGCTAGAAGGGACACAAAAGACATTTAAACCACATTATTTTATAATGGTAGGTCAGAAATTGAGGGTCCAGGAATAAAGTGACTTTCCCAAGGGACTACAATTAGAAGCAGACCTTATTTCACTACAATGCCATAAATACTGAGATAAATTGCATAGATCAATACAATAGGACCTCATGAATCTTCAAAGGAACATAATATTAGTCCATTTAAACTGAATGTCCCTGAGCAAGTTACTTAACCTCTCTGTGCCTCCGTTGCGTAGTTTCCTCCCTCATAGCTTTGCTAGAAGGACGAGTCAACATTAATAAATGCTTAGGGTAGTGCTTGGCAATTGGTAAATACTATGTAAGTGTCTGTTACAGTTAGTTATCATCACCAGCACCATTAGGCTATGAATAAATATAAACTGCAGAGTTGCAGTAATTCATTTGACTTGTAGCAGGTGTAGAAATATACGAGGGTTAAAAGGAATAAATCCCCCACCTCCAAATGAAACGCAAACCAAAAGCAGTGAGCAGCAACTTTACCTGAAACAGGGCAGGTGTTTCAAAAAAATTGAACTGAATCCTGGAAGCTAGCTCCACATCATTAGCTGGCAAATTACTCATCAACGATGAAGGCAGAGTAATCATGCCAATACTATTGTCAGGAGCTTGAGTTTCCAGAGAAACCTGAAAATCGAGTAAGAGATAATGAAAATGTCTGGAACTGGTATAACAAGGAGATGGAAAACATAGGTAATTAAGATGGAGGGTCCTGTAAGGGCTTGATCTGTGGTACTTCTACATAAAATGGCTCCTGCTTCTCTGTTTTGTTGCTACTAAATGAAAGAGAGGATATGAAATAATGAGACAAGGACTCCAAGCGGGAAAGGAAACGTGTTAAGGATACACAGAAATAGTCAAATACTTTTCCCATAAAAAATTAGATTGTACCTGCAGATTTGCAGGGTCTTGGGCCGCAAAGGTAGTTGTGTTGAAATTATTGGCATTTACTCTGATCACAGCCAGAGCCAAAGAAGGGGAGGTTAGACTTATGGTCTTGTTTGAAAAATTCAGCTGTAAGCCAATGTCATCTACAACTTTTAGCAACCTGTAAAGAGAGACGGCAGTTTAAATTTAGCACTCTCATTTTGTCTCCCCCATTCTAAGCAGTTGTAGAGTAGCAACTTGAGAAGTCAAACGAACTTTCCTTGAGAGAAAAACAATTGGCTATAACTCATCATGTACACAGCATCTTTACTATTAGAGGGTCCCTCTTAGCACCTCTTTAGTTTGCTAAGCCATACCTTTGAGCCAGAGGGGCCAGCAAGGCGGGAGGAGAATGAAGGAGTTTGCTGACTTTGTTTATCATTTCGCCTGCAAGGTTAGGCTCCAAGCTGCCAAAGGACAGAGTTTTCTCCATCTGGGACACTTGGTTCTCAAGATCAGAAACACTGCTGGTGTTGAAAATTTCTGTATCAAAGAGGAAAATTGTTTTATGAACACATGATGGAAAGATCACTAATAAAGATAAACATAGATAAACATACAAAGCCCCTGATCTGATCTGGTCAACCCGATCTTAGATAATTGCCCCAAAGAAAAGAAAGCTTAGAAAAGCTTTCTTAAGAAAGCTTAGTCATGAGCCAGGCATGATTACAGCACACACCTGCAATCCCAGTAGTATATATCCATACAGTGGAATATTACTCAGTGATAAAAAGGAAATATTGACCAATGCAGTCTACAACATGGGTGGATCACCAGTTTTCCAACACATTATGCTAAGTGAAAGAAGCCAAGCTCAAAAGGCCACATACTATGTGATTCTCATCATATGACATTCTAGAAAATTCAAAACTACAGGGAAATAGAACAGATTAGTGGTGGAGGGGCTGGGGGTAAGTGTTGGCTTCAAAGAGACCAAAGGGGACTTTGGGGGTGGTAGAAAAGTTATATATCTTTTTTTTTTTTTTTTTTTTTTTGAGGGAGGAAGTACCAAGGATTGAAGTCAGGGGCACTCAACCACTGAGCCACATCCTCATCCCTATTTTTTATTTTATTTAAAGATAGGATCTCACTGAGTTGCTTAGTGCTTCACTTTTGCTGAGGTTGGCTTTGAACTCGCAATCCTCCTGCCTCAGCCTTCAGAGCCACTGGGATTACAGGCATGAGCCACCACACCTGGCTAAGTTATTTATTTTGATTGGTGATCATGGTTACATGACTATGGGTACTTATCCAACTGCACAGAACAATAAAAATTTCACTTAGCTGGGAGTGGTGGTGCACACCTATAATCCCAGCAACTTGGGAGACTAAGACAGGAGGATGGCAAGTTTAAGGCCAGCCTCAGCAATTTAGTGAGACCCAAAGCAATTTAGTGAAACCTTATCTTAAAATTTAAAAAAGGGTGTGTGTGTGTGTGTGGGGTGCTGGTAGAGTGTCCCTGGGTTCAATCCTCAGTACCAAAGAAAGAAAAAGAAATTCATTTATCCACAGAATTAGATAAATTTTACTATATGTAAATTATATACTTCAGTAAACCTAACTCAAAAATATAAAAGCGTATCAGAGTATTTAGTGTATATCACACCACTGCAAATATACTTGCATTTAATTTATATCATGTACACAGGATTTTATGTGGGTCACTAGAAGCCCTTTTGTGAAAAAATTATGAAATCAACAGCTGGACTCTCAGGAAGCCTAATTTTTATAGTGTATCTAATTGGAGCTGGACTCTCAGCTAAGCCTGATTTTTATAGTCTATTTAACTGAGAATATAAACCTATCTTTAACAGCAAAAAAGTCTCTTCATTTTGCCACTAACATTCTATTATTTTGGATATTCCCTTCTAATCTTTATCCCTGTGTATTCACACTATTATAAACATGGTGAGCAAATTATCTGTCACTGGGCCTTTTTAAATTCACATCCAGACTTGAAAAATGCCCCCAAGAGTTTTTATATAGCTGTTCTAATGACCTACATGGTTTCATGATAGTCACTGGGTTGAGGCGGCATATCCTTTGTAATCATTCCTCTCCCGTGGAATTAAGTTTTATCCACTTTTTGGCTACCAGGTAATACTCCAATGTGCATCTTCTGCAGGTATCATTTCTGATGCCCCAGGAGTAGAAGCACAGGATCAGGAGGCTACTTTGATGGTTTTTGTGCAACCCCTTAGGTTGATTCTAAGGATAGATGGGAATAGCTTTGGAAAGATGGATTTTGCAGGCCTAGACTAACAAACTTCAATTGAACTTTATTCTTTACCAGCCACTGAAACTTCCCTTGACTAGGGCCCTAATGATCCTATGATTTTACCTAAAATGTTAATATTCATTTTTAAAATTATTTAAGAGAGGGTATTCAAAGTGGAAGAATTAACAAGTCATTTGGCAGAAGCTCCAAATTTCCTGGTGATGCTAGAGCCATGACAGAGGGGGCAGAAAACAATACCTGAGCTTCAATCTAATGTCACCCAAAATTTGGCTTTGCCTCCCAGGCTCCAAATTGTAGAGGAAGATCTGTTTCTTACACACTGATTTGAAACTCCAGAGTATCCAGAATTCTCTGCTTCTTTCCATCTTGCCTTTATCTCCGTAACACTAAGCCTACCTGGCACCTGGGAGCCCCTTGCAGTTTCCACAGTATGCTCATGCCTGCCATCATTTTCAATGCAGTGCAGTTAGTGTGGTTATTTCCATCTTTACACAGAATAGGTAGAGCAGGAGTCAACTGTTTGTCCCAGATCACCTTGTCTGTGAGGACCTAAGCCTAGATCTTCTAAATGTTTCTCCCTTTCCAAAAAAGAAAGGCTCCACGTGGTCTTATCACATATCTTGATTTGCAAGGCGGCAGCTGCCGGGTCAGGCCCAATCCCAACTACCGCAGGAGCAGCTTGGCTTCTTATACTTACCTGTTTTGACAGGAGGAGTGCTGATGCTGATGTCATTTGAAGATGCAGATGGGACAGGTGTGGTGGGAGAGGGAAGTGAGGACTTCACAGGTGGTGGGGTATGGGAAGGATTGGTTTGGGGCAGAGGGGAAGAGAGAGTTCCAGATTGGGTGGGCATACTGATGGCAGGGCTGGAAGCTATGGGAGCTGAAGGCTGGGGAAGAGAAAAGTGATTCTTCTGTGTCAGAGAGGGAGTGTTCTGGGTCACAGGAGGATGATTAAGGGATTCAGCAAAAGAGAAGGCACTGGCTATCTGGGAAAAGATGGTGGTCTGAGGAGCAACTGGGATGGGTTTGCTGGAAGAAGAAAATGGTGGGCCATGTGGATATTCAGCAAGACAGACAATGGGATCCTGCAGATCGCTAAAAGAAAAAAAAATCAGAGATGCATGTGAGACACAAATGTCTACAGAGGAGTGAATCTCCTTCCTCTGGCAGCCATCTGACACCACCAAATTGACATGGTTACATCAAAGATGTACCACTTCCAGTCTCTGCCATTTTACACCCTCTGTGCCCCTGCCACTGGCCCCTGACTGCTTCTACCACCTACTTCTAGGGGGAAGAATTTTTAACATTCTTTTAGACCCCCTAGTTCTGTTTCACCAATTTGCAGCTGCTCTGGGGCTCTCTGCCTTATCATTTATTACTCCACTGAGGGGATCCTATAGCATTCCCATGTATTACTAGGGAAGGGAGCTGTTAAATGCCCTATGACCCAAGTGGTTTCCATATACTAGGAATCTGTATTAACCAACTTCATACTGCTATAGTCTGACATAGTGGTACTGGTACATGGTAAATGACCAAGAAAAGTTGGTTGAATGCAAAGATAAATCACACTGGAGCCAAAGGAATGGGGTCCCCAGCTTGTAAATCATCTGCCCTCGATGCGTGAGAACTATTCAAAAAACTTTAAAAAACAAATCATCTCTATATATGTATATATAATATCATATATATATATAT